CTTTCGTTCCGCATTGAAAAATGAATGAGATAGAAACGAAATTTCGCCCCATCACAGATCTCAGCTAACAGTTACCATTGCTTTCTGAATGAAATTTGAAGTGAAACGTTCAAGATAAATTACTATTGCTCAAGCATTCTTCGGTGATGGACGGAGTGTCACTGTCATGGAGAAAAAGAATATAGTACAGCTATTTTGACAGCAAGATGGAAGGAAAAATACATATTATAATAGAGACAGAGAAGTGAAGCATTCGAATGGTGTCTCTTGTTATGCATGAAGGCCAGGGGAATGACCCTTATATAATTAACAATACATGTATCGTATTTCTATCCTGTCATAATGAGGTCAAAACGTATCGTTAGCTCTTCGGTTTACCAAGTTTCAAACCTAACCCCATTCTAATGTTAGCCCAACATGTCCAATTGAATGCTACTACACTGTTATTGCTCAAAAGGTTTAACATGAATAACAATTTACCATTTGCCTCGGACAATATTATATTAAGTATTAACATTGCTTAAACATAACCATCATAATTTGTTATGATGATACGTGTGTGTAATTACAAGTTAGTAGCATTCTTAATGTTTATTGGGTACTACTGTGACTGTGACAAACTCTAGTTCAATTTTTTAATGTGACTGTAAGTCGTCATCATACGTTGCTGTTGTCATGGTGTGGACTGGTTATCAAATATCGTCCGGTGATTAGTAAAGTATATGGGTCCATTTGCAGCTTACAGCCCAAACTAAGCCGAGAGACAAAAGAAGTTTTGGTGAACCCGACCCAAAGGCCGAAACAGACAAACAAAATTTTCACATAATAAAAGAAAATGAAATAATAGCTCATCAATGACATAGACATTTTATTAAAACAATCTTATTCCATCAAAGTGACTTTCCTTATTTTAGTTTAGTCTCTTCCTCCCATGCTAATGTAAATTATAAATAAAAAAAACACAAATATCTCAAAAAAATTATAATTATATTATAAAAGAAGAAAAAATATAGGAGCCAATTTAAGGCGCTGGTGAGGTTCAAGCACGAAAGAAGAGTGAGTGCTAGCAAGGGTTACGTGTCAGATTTTAAGGTAAAGGTTGAGGTGTTGGATCCTCACCAATCACCACCCATTCATCTAGCAAATGGTTGACTGCCAAATCATCCATGCCCAATAAGCTGCTGCCACATCAATTGTACCAAGTAGAGGTGAAACTGGGGAGCCGATCTAAGGGGGGGCGACGGCTCGGCCTACGTCAGGTCAGACCTAACTTAGTATACTTCGTAAAACATGCTGGACTTGGACTTTGAAAAAGCTTGTTTAATAAAAAGGTCGTAGGCCCACTTTCATAAGGCCTGACCTATAAGCCTACAAGTCGGCCTATATTGTACTATTTATTTCAAATAAAATAAAATATGATAAATATAAGAAAAAATAAAAGATATAAATTTAATCAATTACAATTATTTATAACTTAATTATATTCAATTATATTTTAATAGAAATCTGATTTTATTTCTTATATAGGAAGAATCAACATCTCAACATGTTAAATTGTGTATATGAATATATTAAAAGATTTTTTAGAGAGGTTATACTTACTACAAGCATTATGATATGTTTGTTGGATTCATGTACTTATTTTAATTTACATAGCATGATTTTGTTTGTTGAATCTGAAATATAAGTTATTTAGTTTGAGCATTTTGCTTTTGAAAGTGACTTAAATGCAGATTGTATGAGTTTTGTTGTAATTCATGATTCTGTTTGGACGTTGAAATTATGATTTCTGGTTTAGTAGCGGAATTTGAGTATTTTGTAAAGTTGATTCATGATTCTACTTGGAAGTTAAAAATTAACAGGATAACGGGCTAGGCCAGACCATTCACTTTTTAATAAACAGGCCAAGTCAGGCTAACAGTTAGACTCATACTAGGCTTGGGCCAGGTCAAATTAAAATTTTTTGACGTAGGCTTGGACTTTTCGGAGCAAAGCTTGATCCAGCCCAGCCCACTTTCAACCCTTGTACCAAGTATGAACGACAATATAAATTCACACTTCCGACCGCCGAACCCGATTGTTTCATTCACACTATTTCAGTCCAGAAAGTTCCTTTTAGACATATGCCCTCTTTTTCTTTTTCTTTTTCTTAGTTTGATTAACCTTTGGCTCTAAGAAAATGAATAATCATATTTAAACTATATTAAAAATAACCCCACCTAAACTTTGAATCACAAAAAAATAAAAAAATTATGTAATATACAAATTTGGTGTAAATTTATTTACTCCAAGTGAAAGACTTTAATTTTATCAATAAACGATTTTGAGTTATTATGAAAAAAAGCTTGATTACCATTTAAACTATTTCGTATAACTTTTTTTAAATTTTTTTTATGGTTTTTCAAAATCATTTTTTAAAATTTTGAAAAAAAAATATAATTTTATTTTTAAATGTTTTTTCCCATTTTGAAAAAACATCTTATTATTATAAAAAAATGTTAAACGTATTTTAAAAAATATTATTTCCTATAAAAAAACAATAGAGTTTTTACTAAAGTGATTAAGAGACTGTTTTTACCCCACACACACACAAAAAAGTGATTAAGAGACTACTGATGTAATATGTTCTTTTTTTTTTTGTGTATATGTGATATAAATAAATACCAACTTTTATAGTAAATTTGATGCACTTACAGTTAACCCATTGTACATGGTCCAACCATTGATTGAAGAAGTTCGTATTCAACTAGAGTTGTGACTAGGGTTGGCAAAACGGGCCAACCCGGCTTGACCCGGCCCAACCCGCATTCAGCCCGAAAAAAAGGGTCGGGTCGGGTTGGCTCGAAAAAAAAAACGAGCCAGAAAACTCAACCCGGCTCGACCCGAGCCGGGTTAGGGTTGGCTCGCGGGTTGGCTCGATAATCAGCTCGCGGGTTGGCTCGTAAAAAAGCTCACGGGTTGGCTCAAAAAAAGCTCGCGAGTTAGCTCGAAATGATGCTAGTGGGTTGGCTCAAAAATTTTAATTTTTGTGGTTTGTTCTCCTGTATAAAATTATTGTATTTTGCAGTCCAACTACAAGTAGAGTAGTTTACAAATTCCAAAAACATTAAATGAAACACAAACCACTCCACGAATCACAGGAGTCAGTTATCATGATTTTTTTTTTTTTTTTGGAGTTACCCAACCCTAATTATCTCTTTGAGACGAGTTGGCTCCCTCCGGTATCCTCACGAGCTTCGACTCTTTGAGCCGGCTATGGGACTAATCCGGAGTGCGGGGGAACAGTGATGGCTAAAGGTTCAGCCCCCTCCCCAAGAATGCATTCAGCGAGAATCTTATCATGATTTTCTGAATTACTCTAACTCACGATAACCATAAAACATATATAAAGCCAAAAAGTAAAAAATAAAAGAAATCCATTATATATTTCAACGATAAGCATCTAGAATCAAAAGCCAATCATGAAAAAAAGGACCTGCAAAAGCGACCAATACAGTAAAGTCCATCAGTGAAGAATCCATCAGTAAAGTCCATTGTATTTTATTAATAAAAAAAAAAAAGATTAACCCGCGAGCTGACTCGTTCAACCCGCGAGCTGGCTCGTTTGAGCTCGGGTTGGCTCGGGTCGGGCTAAATCGAGCTGGCAGCTCATTTTTGCCAACCCAACCCGGCTCGTTTTATGCGGGTTACGAGCCAACCCGACGGGTTGGCTCATTTTTGCCACCCCTAGTTGTGACCTAATAAAAATGACCCAATTGTTAAAAGAGGCAATGATTTGAAATACCACAAATTACAATCGAATCCAAGTCCCAATAAAGCAAACAGATATGATTGTGATTTGTTTGGGAAGAAAAAGAAAACAATATATTTGGAATGATTTGAGATTAAAGATTTAGAATGTATTTTGAGTTATTTATTTGTAATTTTTTATTCATTTTTTAGATGTTAATTACTTTTATTTATTTTAGGAAGTTTTATTATTTTTAGAATTTTAGATTTTTGAATTTTGAATCAATAATTTTAGGAAGTTTTATTATTTTTAGAATTTTAGATTTTTGAATCAATAAATAAAAGTAATTAACATCTAAAAATCTAAAAATAATAAAACTTCCTAAAATTATTGATTCAAAATTCAAAAATCTAAAATTCTAAAAATAATAAAACTTCCTAAAATAAATAAAAGTAATTAACATCTAAAAAATAATTCAAAATAAATAATTCAAAATACATCTCAAATCTTTAATCTCAAATCATTCCAAATATGTTATTTTCCTTTTCTTCCCAAACAAATCACAATCACATCTATTTGCTTTATTGGGACTTGGATTCGATTGTAATTTGTTATATTTCAAATCATTGCCTCTTTCAACGATTGGGCCATTTTTATTAGGCCACAACTCTAGTTGAATACGAACTTCTTCAATCAATGATTGGACCATGTACAATGCATCAAAATTCTTATCAATATTTGATTTTCCTTACAATTCACTATATATTATCATTATGCTAATTTTTGGATAAAGATTATTTTGTGATTTAAAAGTTAATTTAATTAATGAAATTTCTATTTTTTTTAAAAAAATTATTAAATTTAATAAATGTAAAAAAAAAACAAAAACAAAAATAATATCAGCAAGCGTGTGCGTTTTGCGTGTCGTGATAAATCGTGTAGACATTAGCGTCCTCGTACACGGAAGGAAGTAGATATTCTCATGTGAAAAAGTCATCATCTTATTTGATCACAATCACTCATTAATTGATTGATTGATTGATTGGTGATCAGGTAAGACAGAAAAAAAATAAATATAATTTTTAAATAAGTTACTCTGATGGAATAATATTACCAGTTTTCTACATCCAAATTAAGATTCATTGGAACCGTTTGTCTATTCCTAATGTATTCTGTTCTATAAAATCCGTCGCTTCTTCATCTGAACAAACATGATACTGAGCTAACAACAAGAAGAAGGAGATTGTACTAAAAATAAGGAAAAAACAAGAAGAAGAAGAAGAAGAAGTAACAAAGGAGATCGATCACGAAGATGAAGTGCTGGACAACAAGTTTGTCGGGGCAGAAAAACAAACACGCAGTGAAATTGAGCCAACTGAAGCTCGAATTAGGACTCTTCGGAGCGAGGGTGGGTGCCTCAAACAACAGGGTGGTTATTGAGATAACAGGGATAGCTAGAAAGAAAGAGAAACCTTGTTCTTCTTCTACATGTTCAAACCCAACAACACCTTTCTCATCACTTGTTCCCTTTCATCGTTCCCCAAAAGGAAAATGCAGTCACACCACCTCCAGTCATAGATTCCTATGTACCAAAGCGCCTTCTCTCGTATGGGACGATCGCGACCTATGTGGTTTTCATCTCCCCCTCAAAGATGGTTTCTGCGACATCACGTTTCATGTCTTCTATGTAACAACTTCTTTTTCCCTTTCAAACTCTCTCTACTGTTTTTTTTTTTTTCAATTTTCAATTTTTTTATTATTATTATTTGTTAATGAAATTTGACTGAAAATAAAAACGCAGGGAGAGGGTGCTGCAGGAGAATCCAAAGGTAAAATGACGGTGGCCGGAAAAGTTTCCATGAGCATTGCCATGGCGGAGTTGCTGACGAAGACGGACTCCGATTCTCATCATCCATTTCAAAGAAGACTTCCAATCAAATTGAAGGTCAATGGTTTATTCATCGAAGCTACCCTTTCGGTATGTTTTTTCCTTTTTTTTTTTTAAGTAATTATTATATATCTTAATCGCTCATTATTGGTCAAACCCATTTCATAAGCACATCCAGCAAAAATGCATGGAAAGCAATTATACTATAACAGTTTCTTACCTATTTCATTGAATTTTCTATGTATATATGGATACAAGCTCAAAAAATAACAAAATATTAGTTATGTCCTATATTGTTGTATTGTATCAACTCATTCATCACATAGTTAGTGTCTGTAGGTCCATCATCATTTTCTCTGTCAGTTCATTTCCCAAATAATGTTATTTGACCGTGATTATAGAAGGACTTGTCTTTTCTTTTTGCTCTTTTTTAATCATTCGTAGGTAAATTATATTCTTGAGAAATCATAACAACAAATTATTATTTTGTCAAATATTTATTATTATTATTAAGTGAAATTTCACGTAAATTTCATTAAACAACTTGATAGAGTTCACTTTCTCTTGGATCTTTTCATTGTAATTAAGGTGGAAATTATTAGCACGATTACGATGAGTAATACTTTTGAACAGGTCTCTGGGAGGTTATTGAAGCTGAGGAATTCTCATGATGATGATTCGCCAGGACACTTTGAAAGCTTGGTCCAGTCACAGAAAAAACACGGGATTATAGGGAGAGTAAAGAAGTATTTGGCGAGCTTGACGAAGAAAAATAATGACAAGTTTGACCATGCGGAACAACCGAGTCCTTATGAATCGGATGGCTCTCCCGTATTTGACTCAGATGACTCGTCGAATGAGTCAACAACAAGCAGTGGTAGTGGCAGTGGCGGGTACGGTAGAAATCACAACGCAGGGTTAAGACTTACAATCGGGTCTGAGAGGTTTACGAGCTCAGGGACAAAGACCCGTTTGGACACAGTGCAAAAGAATTGGTCACAGTTGCCATTGAATAGAAGCTTCAAGGGATGGAACTTTAAGACAGACACAAGCAAACAAGAAACCTTAACCACTCATTCAGGTCCTTCCGCGGTATGTAACTTCATCCTATTTTTTTAACACCCCTTAATTATGTTTGTATTGAATTGCAATGAGCCAACAAAAGGTCAATTTTTTTTAGATGGACTAACAAATGGTCGTTGTCAACCTTTTTGCAGAAATCAGATGAACTTTCTCTACATTTATACCTTCAAGGAGGTGCAAGTAACTGGGAAATCAAGAAAATTTCAAGCAGAGATGGGCGAGCAAAGCTCAAAACCAATGTTTTTTTCGCTTCCTTTGACCAACTGAGTGAGCAAGCCTGTGGTGAGGGTGCGTGCACGGTCTTAGCTTCTGTCACAGCACACTGGCTCCATTCCAACCATGATATGCCAACAAGAGCACAATTTGACAGCCTCATCAGACAAGGTTCATTTGAATGGAGAAGGCTGTGCAACATTGACTGCTACTCGAAGCTGTTCCCAGATAAACATTTTGATCTGGAGACGATCATAGAAGCCAATCTGAGACCTCTCATTGTTCTGCCTCAGAAATCATACACGGGGTTTTTCTCCCCTGAGAAGTTCCATTGCTTGAAAGGAGCTATGTCCTTTGATGAGATTTGGGATGAGATAAACGGCAAGGTTGTTGATTCCGAGCCAAGAATTTACATAGTAAGTTGGAACGATCATTTCTTTGTTCTGAAGCTAGAAGCAGATGCTTACTATATCATTGACTCGTTGGGTGAGAGACTTTTTGAGGGGTGCCAACAGGCATTCATATTAAAGTTTGATGATTCGAGTGTTATGTATGCCCCTTCAAAGGGTGCAAAAAGTAATGAAAGCCTTGAGATAATTTGCCGTGGAAAAGAGTGCTGTAAAGAGTTTATCAAACGCTTTCTCGCTGCCATACCACTTAGGCAACTAGAGAAGGAGGAGAAGAAATGGAATGTTTCAAGTCCCTATCTTCATCGGCAATTGCAGATTGACTTCCATTATAGTTCTTCATCATCCTCGTCCACTTCAGCTTCTTCTTCTCTGTTGTCTATCTTAACAAGTGGATCTTTATAAGTCTAATTACCTAGCCAAGCATTAGTTTCTCGGTCTTGTGGACTAGGAAGACATTCACCACGGCCTTGTGACCCAATCAGCTAGCATGTGCTAAATCTTTGAAGACCCTGGCCTTGTAGCTGTAGGATGCTTTTAAACCTTGCGTGTTTCAAAATGTCTCCTGTCGCATGCTAGGTAGACATCATGGACCATATTTAAAATTGAGTCTCGACTACAAAATGGTGGCAGGAATGTTTTCTGCTTGGTTGACCTTGAGCAAATTAAGAAACTCGGTTTTGGCAACTTTTAAGCCTTTAAAAACCATGCTATTTTACTCAAATTGAAGATCAAGAACAATATGTAAGCATTATTAATTCATAGAAAAACCATCCCTTCAAGATTGATCCCTAGTAGGGCTACATACCTGATACAGTGGATTTGAATGAATAATGAAAGGAAGTGTAAGTTTAGATGCACTTGTTATTAATTGTCCAATGATATTTACTCTTTTCTTTTTCTTTTTTTCAATCCAATTTTTCTCTATCCAACCCTGGAGTGAAAGGAAGAAAGAAAAAGTAAAAGCGAGGAGAGTTAGTCCTCGTTGAATTCAATCTCTGAATCTCTCGTTCTTTTTTTATTTCTTTCTTTCTCGGTATTTTATCAAGGTCCTCTAAGTTAGTCTCTTCATGTATCTATTTTACATACAATTCAAGAGGACCAAACCAACTGATACACAAATGTACAAAAAAGAGTAATGGAAAATAGCCTGGTAAGAGATTAGTATATTATAGACTTAAGGGGGAAATGAATTAATGATGGTACACATCAGGTGTATTAATATTTATGTTGAATGATCAAAGCTCAACTTTTTAAACTGAATATTTATATATATTAAGTGATTATTTATGTTGAAAATATCTTCTTCGCTTCTTAATTTTACTTATATTTTGTTTTTGTCTAACAACTTCATGTTAGTTTCATTTCTATCGTATTCATGAATCCGAGTCATTTAACATTTAGTTTATATTTTAACCGGTAAACGTACCACAAATTCAAAGTCCAATTACGTCCAAACTACCAAAAAAATTATTTAATTATAGCATGAGTGGTCTATTTAGGTACATATATTTATTCATACAAAATAAGTTAATTTGTCTTAAAAAAAAACTTCTACCAAGCATGGGAATATTGCCTAGTAGTCAGCCCAGAGAGTGATTCTGAGGGAAGCAGTAAGCCCTATAATTTACTTTCTCAACTTGTCCAACAGGCAACAGAATATGTCATGACTAGTTTCGGTAATGAGCAAGTGAAAATTCAAGTTATGATACCGAAATTGAATATTGGTACTTAAATTACTAAAAACTTAACAGTCATCAATACTACGAATCAACTAAGCAGAGTTAAAAAAATTCTTTAAAATATTAACTTCAGCATGATCAAATTAAAGAGCACCTTCATATAGTCAACCTCTAGTGTATACATAAAAATGCCTAGCCAGTTCAAGAAGCGTAGCAAAGCACAAATCTAGAAACCTGAATTTCTCAAGTTACTACACACTATTTGTGGCTGCAAACAAAAATGGGCCATCTTTATAAAATCCAGATTCAAACAATAAACTTGAAGCTCCATTTTGTTACCCTTCTGGGAGGTTCGAACAATTAACTTGTTTCTCACTTTAGTCTCCTGGACCTGTCCATTTTCAAAACTAGGGGCTGGTAAAGTGAGGGGGGCCTAACCTCAAAGATAGATCACATTTGTTTGCACAAGGATTCTCAGGATCCCCATTAGTAATCAACGATTGAGATTTCTGACTTGAAGGATTTACATTACGGGCAAGGAGATTCTGAGCACCACCTAGAATGGCAGGTCCAGAAGTGTTAGAAAGTGAGACTTTTAAACCATGTTGGCGTTGGATGTTGTTCCCATAATATAAGGGATAAACTGAAAGCAAATTTGATGGTTGTCGATGTTCCAAGCACTGCTTTTTACTAGATGAAGGTACAAACTCAGACACATATTGCGACTTTGTTTTATGATCCCTTCTATTACCGTTCTGCAATGAGTCATGAGAAACATTGAGATCCTCTTCAGTGCTGCGTCCCAGATAACATCTTGGACTGTCGCGTTGACTCCTTGAAGCTTTTCTTAGGGAGCAACCCAAACTCAGAGCAGCTGAATCATACCAAATGGAGAAATAAAATCACCCACAGAATCAAGTAATCTTTTTTTTTTTTTTTTTGTGTGGGAATGAACAAAAGTTGCAACCTTTGTTATTTGTCCATTTTTTGTTATTAACCAAGAGCAGCTATGCAAACCTAAACAGTAATGTTGCAATATGATGTGATAATTGATACCTTCAATGCAAGGCTGCAAATACTCTCCAGTTTCATCATGCTCATCACGTCGAATTATTGTATCAATTGCATCATTTGCTCTGTCCAAAAGTGTTGTAAGGTCCATGTATTCAGCCTACCCAAGAATAAATATGCAAAAATGACAAAGGATTATGTTTCTGTGATTCTAGGATTCACCAGTAAAATGTTTTTTTTTTTGTCCATATATAACAGAAAATAGTTGAGTATATTAGTAGGAGAGCAAAAGGAACAAGGTTACCTCTGAATTTGCTTTAGAGTACATAATTTCTTCTGCCCTGAGCACAACAACAGGGAGCTTCTCTTGGTACTCTTTATTCTTCTTAGTAGAAGAGCCATGTATCTCATTGACAATCCTATACAACACAATAAGAACCAAAGATTTAATGGGAAAATGATTAGAAACACAAGTAAATTGATGAGAGAGGAAAAGGGTATACCTGAAAATTTCTTGAATGAGAGTTCCTCTGATGGGATGGTGTCTTTCACTGTGCCAAGCTCTTCTCACACAATCATACGGCCTCGGGCCTGGCCTAGTCATTCTGGGGACTTATTGGAGAGGAACAGTGTGCTCTCTTTCATAAAGAGAAAACAAACCCCAAACACCAAAACGTGCCAGAGATTTTGGGTAAGGGTAACTTGTGCTTTAGATTTTGCTATTTTGTTGCTCTGAGCACAACAGTGTACGATCTAATCTAAATGGCTTTTTTATATTTTTATTTTTAACTGGAAAGCGTATAAAAAAGATGAATAGTTAAGAAAATAAAAAAGATGAAAATTGAAGAGTTTGGTTTTGATGTGTCCCCCACTCACCCACATGCCTGGCTTCATCCCCTAGCCCCAAGAGTCTTTTTCACCTTTTTTGGAGTCTTGGCCTTTTGTCTTCCTCTGTATCCAAAGTCATAGCCATTCATTTGCTGCGGATTTGACCTTTCATCATATCATCACTGTCGGTGACCCCTAAGCAACCCCAACCTCTACTCAAACCGTAACAGCATAAAGGAGAAGGGCCCTTCTTGTTTTCTAAAGATATCCCTTGAATCGGTGGAAAGAAATGAAACGTAACACAAATTATTTAAAACGAGTTTACTCCTCTTCATTATAAATTATTTAAAATAAAACAATAAAAAAAAATGAATTTAAGTCAATCAATTTTATCTTATTCTTTATTAATCTCATTTTTTTTTCCTTTTCTAATATTCTTATCATATTTTTAAAATAACAAAACAAAAAATTCCAACTATTTCATCATAAAATATTTAAATAATTATATAATAATTTTATTTTACTTATTTTCATTTCATCTCAAGTCTTCTTTTTTTTGGTTACATCTCAAGTCTTCCTTTTGATTCGCCTTTCATTGCATATTTAATGAAATCCAATGGAAGATGAACCTTCCCAGCTCCCAAGCTGCACTAGTACTAACAGTACCAGTAGTGAATTATCACTTATTGTGCTAGTCCATTGACTATATTTAAATTTAAAAATCAATAAAACATAACTGCATGAGAAGAAAATGTCTATTTTTTTTTTCACTAACTATCTTTGACTAGTGCACCTCAGCACTTTCTCCTCAGGATGGACATTAAATAGCAATGAGTGCACGATCATCAAGTTTTCTCTTGAAATAAGATCTGAAGATATTTGACACATTACTCAGTTTTGAAACCAATCTCACAAATTGATCAGGATTTTTTTTTTTTAAAGATTCCAATCGATTCGTTGCTTCGCAACTAATCCGATTTGGGATGAGTCCAGGATTAAAATTTTAAACCTCTTCCCAAAAATGATACTAGGAAGATTCAAACAGATGCTCTCACCCTAACTGCTTAGCTCCCATATGCCACAAGAAAAATCTTAATGCGGTACCAAAGAATGATAGGAAAATCTTAAAAACCCGAAACAAAAAGCACGTGTTTTGGTTTGATAACGTTATCCTGTCAGGCGCATGCAGAGCGATGAGATAGGCATGGTAGCCACGTGTCTAACTGGCATGCCACGGGACAAAAACTATTAATTAAAGTGTCTAAACTTCAAAATCCATGCTTGCACTTGCACTTGCATAAGTGAGAATAGTTCACTCAAAAATCAACGTCGATACCATCCGACGGCTGATATTCAGCCTTTTTTATTATTATTATAACATAAACAGCAAGTGATCAAGACGAAGACAAGGGTTTTGGTAACGTCAAATACATAGCGATAGCGAATATTTCCTCCGAAAAAAAGGGAAACAAAGACAAACATTGAACGCCGAAATTAAGGGATTACATTTTCAAATATTATTATTAATAAATAGCTTGTAATAGTGAGGAATCCACTAAATCAACCAACAAATCCAATGAAATGCAATGCAAAACTTAAAAAAATGTGATTTTTAGTACCTTCGCATATTATCTGCCATTAATTTAGCATTCTGTCTCATCATCCCAAGCTCCAATCCAAAAATAACCCACTTTGAAACTTCTCGTCTCCTCGACCACCATTCACAAAAAAAAAAAAAAAAAAAAATACACCATTGCTAAGCCGGCAATGCTATCACCTAACCCACTCTCTCTTCTATGTCCACTACTTCTATGCTTACCTCTGGCCATCGTATTCACCACTACCTATTCTTCCTCTTCCTCCTCCTCCGCCGCAAACGACCAAAACAACAACACCACCATTCCCAGCTCTCTCGTTCTCGAGAAACCAACCCCAAATCTGAAAAGCAGTTTCTTTGGCATGCGTAACCCCAAAAACAAATCAAAGGAATTGGATGACGATGAGGAAGCGCTGTTCCGTGCGGCTGCACATGCTAAGCGGAAAGCGACGTGGCCTAGAAAGATAGCGTTCATGTTCTTAACCACCACACCTCTCTCATTCGCACCCCTTTGGGAATCTTACTTCAACCAAACCCCCAAAAATCTCTTCAACATTTACATACACGCCGACCCCACATTCTCTTACCACCCCCCCTTCTCCGGCGTCTTCTCCGACCGTCTCATTCCTTCCAAACCCACCGCTAGATTCTCCCCCACTCTCACCTCCGCGGCGCGTCGTTTGCTCGCACGCGCCCTCATTCACGACCGTTCTAATTCCATTTTCGTCCTCCTCTCTTCATCTTGCATCCCCCTCCACTCCTTCAACTTCACCTACCGCACCCTCAGTAACTCCCACAAGAGCTTCATTGAAATCCTCAACAACGAGGACGGATCCTACGACCGTTGGGCGGCGCGTGGACCCCAAACCATGCTCCCGGAGGTGATGCTGGAGGACTTCCGCATTGGGTCCCAATTCTGGGCTCTGACACGTAAGCACGCGCGGCTCGTCGTCAGTGACCGAAAGCTTTGGCCCAAATTCAACCTCCCCTGCTTACGTTCGGAAACGTGCTACCCGGAGGAAAATTACTTCCCCACCCTCCTCAGTATGTGGGACCCAAAGGGATGCGTGCATGCCACGCTCACCCACGTCGATTGGACAGGTCGCGACGATGGACACCCTCGCACGTACGAGTCGTCCGAGGTGGTCCCCGAACTGATTCAGTCATTACGGAGGGATAGGCCTAGATACGGTAACGGTAACGGCGAGAACAACAGCAGACGGCGACGGCGTGATCCGTTTTTGTTCGCGCGGAAATTTTCCGCTGACTCTCTCCAACCGTTGATGAGGATTGCAGACGGCGTTATCTTTAGGGATTAGGTTGGGACCGAAGAATAACGGCAATGTCATCGGCTGTAAATTTTGCTATGTTGATGGGCAAAATGAGAGTGCCACTGCGATCGGATATTTCATATTTGGACTCGTTTGAGATGACGAGGCCCACTGGCCCATTGCGTGATGGAATGAGTCATGGGTGGAACGTGGAGATTGGTGTTTCAGCATGGACAGTGTGTTGGGCTGTGGGTGTATTAAAGGATTTAATCGAATAAGCTCAACCTAAGAGTTCACCAAAATTGGTAATTTATGTACCAACAAAACAACAACCTATTACCAAACCAAACTAAATGTACATAGGGATGGGGCATGTTGTTTCGAGTTTCGCGGGCGATTGCGACGTAAAACCTCTGTACTAATTACAAACAACAAAGGCAATTTTTCTAATTTCTGTTGTTTTCCTATTCACCTCCAAATTTGGAGACTTTTTTCCTGAGGATTTCCTTTATTTATTTTTTAAAAAATTAAAAATCCATATAAATACTAGTTCGCAATTGTAACCCATGCTGATATTTTGTAGTTTTATTCGAACTGCGCATCTTTATGCTTTAATTAAATGAAACAAAAATATAAATCGATTATTTCTTCAAATATTTTAGACAATGCATTTTTTTCTGCCTTTTTGTTTAAAAATTTAAAAATAAACACAGAAATTGACCTGTACGAGCAATGCCCTTTCGAAGCCCACACACCTGTTTTAGATGGGCCATTATACTGTTTTGTATAAGCCCACATGTGGTCCAAAACGAGTTTGTAGCACCCAAAAAGGGTAGCAGCTGGAACTTAGTACTATTGTTGGGTAATAGACTAATTTTAGAATTTAATCTACACAAAGCCCAGTCCTCTTACTTTTCCATGCTTGGCAGCTTCAAGCGTAACAATTGCTATTAAAATGAACCATTCCCCACCCAACTAGGTTAGGAATACTTTGCTACGCGATGCAATGGGTGTAGCTACCCATTGGGGCGTGGATCGGGTGTGACGGTTGAGGTTTCTTTTTGGTACAATACGGTTGAGGTATTTTTAGACCCGATTCATTCATCAAAATAGTGGGCCAGATTTGGTTGAACCTGTGGATCTGAAGTACATAGAAAGTATTCTCTTAAAAAAATATATCAAAATACGAAATTAAAATTTTATTATTACATCAACAGTACTTTTAAATTAAATAACGGTGGGAAAATCTAAATAAAAAATGGAGAAAAAATAATAACAGTAAATATAAATTAAATTAAAATAAATAAATAACAAAAAAAAGAGAGACAATAATTATACAAGAAGAAAAAAGTAAATTAAATAAAAACATAAATAAATGAGAGTTAATTTTCTCATGTGTTAGTTAATATAACTATGTTATGTCACTTATGTGGAAAGATCATAATCATTCATGGGTAAATCTACGGTAATAATCTTGTCATTCCCTATTCTAATATTTTTTTCTCTCTCATTTCTCATCATCATTGATTTTTCCATAAATATTCAAATATGAAGAAGTATTAAAAAGATTGATCTAGAAAAAAAAAAGAAAAAAAGAGAATACCCCTCTATATTGCTTTTTTTTTTCCTACTCTCATAGAAGCCGGACTATCCGTCAATCTCACTCTGATAAATCTTGTTTTATTACTTCTTTTTATATCATCTTGGTAAAAGCTCATTATATTTTAAAATTTAAATTAAAACCAACATATTTAATATATTAATTAAAAAACATAACTATTATAAAAAAAATTAAAAATCATGACAAATAGCACATAAAATGACATAATCAATGACTACACCCTCAATTTTCTCAAGATGCTTGCTGTCATCCATGTAATTCATTGAATTTCTTATAGTAAGTTACTTTATTATTAATTTTCTCAGTATACTTGTTGACATATTCATCAAATATTTTAACCTTAAACATCCTTGCTCATTTATTTTATTTTTTCTTTGGGGGGGGGGGGGGGGGGGGGGGGGGGGGGGGGGGGGGGGGGGGGGGGGGGGGGGGGGGGGGGGGGGGGGGGGGGGGGGGGGGGGGGGGGGGGGGGGGGGGGGGGGGGGGGGGGGGGGGGGGGGGGGGGGTGTTATAAAAACTATGAATAAAATTACTTTTATTTTTTTTTAAATGTGGGTGGGACTTGTATGGATTGAAACTTTTTCAACCCACATCCAACCTATATTGTATGATTTCAACTATATTTTTAACCATTATCACAGATCCAATTCTGGGTGGGTTATATCAAATCTGACAGGTTCCAAGTTGACTCAACCTGCCGGGCATCCCTAGCTAGCTAGCTAGCTAGTAGTAAGTCTGTATCGTTTCATTGATTTGGGCATTGGCCCTGTAAATTACCAATGAAATAAAGAAAATAATCTTGCAGGCCCAAAGTGTAAATTAAAAAAAAAACGATATAGTCTCACAATTGAGTTACTTACTCCCTCACGAATATGAAGTAAACTCTCACAACCCCCAATTATTTCTGCTATTGCTTTTTTCTTTTCTTTTTTAACTCTCCCCTTCTTCCTCTCTCTCTTCCTTCTTTTACTTTCACATCCGGGCTTCTGTATATTTTAACAGTTTTCTTTAATTAATTAATTATATATAGCCATGATTATTTTTTATTAGTATAAGTCATATTTTTAATATCAGTTGTTGATCTTATTATATCTAGCGATTCTAATTTTTCAATTATATAAATCATTAGATATAAGTAGATCATTGGCTACAAATAAGTACAAGATCTTTTATTCTTACATCAATATATATATGGAGTTTAGTGAGTGTACAGTAACTAGATAAAAAATTTGGTCTAGTGCACTAAGTTTACCTGCGAGAACACAATTATAGTAAATAATATAACTATGTTCTCCCGCGAAAACACCTAGAGAATACCATTATAATATTTAGTGCACTAAGTTCTCGCGGGAGAACTAGTGCACTGGACAGTCCAGTGACTGAATCTTTATTTTTTCCATGTATATATATATATAGGGGCAGGATATTCTTACACTGGTGTAAGAGTTAGAAGTCTTACACTCAATCTTAACCATTAATCCACTTGTATCCAATGGCTCACTTTATTAAAAAATTAAAACCCTTAGATATAAATAGAATCAACAGACAAGATTATGAGTATAACTTACACTAGTGTAAAATGATTCTGACCCATATATATATATAGGGATAGGATCAACTTACATCGGTATAAAAATAATAAGTCTTACATTCAATCTTAACCGCTGATTTCCGTGCATTTAATAGTTGAGATTTATTAGGAATTAATAATTAATTAATGAGTGAGATCTAATAAATCTTAACCGTTAGATGTACGAAATTAACAGTTAATATCTTGTATGAGACTTATTATTCTTACATCAATATAAAATAATTCTATCCCATATATATGGGAAAAAATATTCTTACACCAATGTAAGAATAAAAAAGCTTATATCAAATTTTAATCATTAATTTACTTGTATCTAATGGCTCAAATGTCTAATTAATCAGAACCATTAAATATAAATGAGATCAATAATCAAGATTAAAAATATAACTACATTAATATAAAATAATCTATATATATGTGTGTGTGTGTGTGCAAGATATTCTTACACTGGTGTAAAGAGTTAGAAATCTTACACTTAAATTTATTATTTATTTAATTATTATTGGACTATTTATTTAAAAAAATTTATCATATTTTTTTTTTGATAACAAAAAATTTATCATATTATTACACCGGTCTTATAACATGTTAATTTAAATTTTAAAAGTGAAATAATAAAAATAATATAACATTAAAATATTAAAAGAAAGTAAAGAATGAAACGATAATTTGGGGCTATGCCTCGTCAATAGGGGTGTTGACGGGCCGAGCCGAGCCGAGCTTTGATCTTAAGAGGCTAAGCTTATGTTTAAATGTGTTAGCCTGACCAAGCTTGTTACCTGTTATGAATATAATTTCAGTCTGTGGTCTGTCTTATTTATAAAAAATAAAAGTCTGGTTTAGCTTGTTTAAAAAAAAAAATAAGATAACAAAAATTTATCCAAACAATATATACAATCACCACCACTAGTAATTCCATAAATATTCATAAATTTAATATATATCTAAACAGCATAATATAAAACAAAATCATTCAAAAAATATGTTTAATTAATAAAATGAGATGAAATGGATTGAGGAGAGAGAGGACTCTCACAAGTAGTATAAAAAATATAAAATTAAAATTAAAATATTAGACCAGCCTATAAGGCTTTAAGGCCGGACTTTTGAATTGGAGCCCGAGGCCTTTTTATTAAACGAGCTTTTATACAAGTCCAAGCCTGGTTTCAACAATCAATTTTAAACATGTAAGTTCAGGTCTTCACGAGCCGAACCAAAGGCTCCTGGCTCGTTTAGCACCCCTACCCATCAACTACAAAAAAAAAAAATGAAATGATAATTTAAATTTATACTTTTAAAAAATAAAAAATATTTAATGACTTATACTAAATGAAACTGATTACGACTAAAATTTTAATTAATTTTTTTTATTAAAAATTATTATTGATAATTATATTTAAATATAGTAGTTGATGAACTTATATTTATTTGAAAATAAGGAAAATAAATACATAATTAGTATCATTAAATTCTGAATTAGTTTATTAAATATTTAAATATAAAATATAAAAAAATATTAATAAAATAAAATAAAATTAATTATAATAAATTTGAATTAAATTTAAATATATTAAAAGGAGAAATAAAATAATTATATGAAGTAATAATAAAATTAAATTTTCTTACATATAACTAACATGTGACATCAATCTCACTTTCCTCACCCATGTAAATTCTTTTATTGTTTACATAGATACGTAGGTAATGACTACATAAATTAGTCTCCCAGGTGAAGAAAAATGATAAAAGAAAAATTATGCACACGAACGAAGTGACGAAGAAATAAAATAATTGAATTGAAAAAGTGAAGTCGTTTCATTTTGCTCATCAAAGTTG